GAGGGTAACAGGAGACCAGATACCAGAAATTAAGTCTTCTGTGACATAAAGGAAGAAGGATGCAGATGAGGGTACGTGTGTACACTTGGGCATGATAGAGGGAATTCCTTTCTAGTGGATTCTCTCATCTCAATGAAGTAAGAAGCAAAGTTACTAGCTTAGAATGAGGAATGGGGAGAAGGGTTTTGATGCAAGTACAACTCATGCAGTGATCATGACTCTAGCATGCTCAATTGTGCGGCTTTCTTTAACAAAGCTCAACCAAATAGGTGAAAGTATGTGTAAGTCAGGTAAGTGGATTCACCTACTTGGCTTGGATATTGCCTGGTGAATAGATGGTAGAAAAGACATGCAAGGGAGGTGAAGGTACATAAAAGGAAAAGGACTATGGAATCTAACCAGGCAAGGAGGGAAGTAAAATCAGCAGGTGGTTATTTGATAGTGAGAAAGAATAAGGACAAAAAGATTTGGTAATGAACACAAAGAGTTGCAAGTGTAGAGACCAGAACAAGCTGGGATGGGGTAGAGGGAGGATGTGGTGTTTGGGGAGCAGGCTACCTTGCTTTCTTTTCTGATGGTGGAAGTGGTTCAAAGAAATAGATGGCTGAGGTCAAATGGAGGGATTTATTTTGGGATATGAGGAAGGTATTGATTGGATCATCCATGGGTATACTGAAGTTATCAAGAATAAAGCACCTGAGCAGTACCAATGAAAGTTCTGTAGGAAACAGAGCTAAACTCTTTTCCCTGTGATCTATGGCTATGTAGATTTTGTATGGTGTGAGGTGCTGGTGGTTTTCTTCATTATTGCATTGATAGAGCTTCCTTAAGTATTAATTCAACACCAGAGGAAAATAGAGCTGAGAAAGAGGGAATGAAACAAGGTCCTGAACACAATATCCTTTGAGTCCTCTGCACTACCCTTATTTGCAGCCTGACCATTCCTATTTTGTTAAACTAGCCTGAGTAATTTTTAATGTATTTTTTTTGCAAATGCAAGGCATAAACTAATACAGAAGGGTCTATTTCATAAAAGAGAAATTCATGGAAATGTAATGGATTTCTAGTTTACCTAATATCCATTTTTCCTTCCTGGTAGAATTGTTATCCCTACTTCCACCATAGGTCACAAGGAAGGGTCAAGGTCAATCACTGCTTTTGCAATTACCTTGCCAGTGGTGCCAATAAAATATAAAGTAAAATCTGCTAGGGGGAATGGAGTGGATTGAGTAGTGTGATCGTTAATTTTAAGTGTGAAAATTTGACTGGGCCATGGGGTGTCCAGATATTTCATTAAACATTGTTCTGGATGTGTCTGTGAGGGTGTTTCTGGATGAGATTAACATCTGAATGGGTAGAGTTAGTAAAGCAGATTGCCCTTCCCAATGTTGAATGTTTGAATAGAATGAAATGCTGAGCAAGAGAGAATGTACTCTCTTGGTCTGATGGTCTTTGAGCTAGGATATTGGTCTTCTCCTGCCTTTAGACTCAGACTGGAACTTACTTCATCAGCTCTCCTGCGTCTCAGACCTTTGGGCTGCATATATGGGGGTTTCCAGACTCCATAATTGCGTGAACCAATCCCTTATAAAACATCTCCTTCTCCATGTATCCCATTAGTTCTGTTTCTTTAGGGACCTCTAATACAAGTAGTGGCCCTAAAAAATTCATGATCACCAAGAAACTCAGAATGTGACCTTATTTGGAAATAGTCTTTGCAGATGTAATTAGTTAAGGAGCAAGAAGAGATCCTACGTCTCTTGGTTAGGGTGGGCCCTAAGTGCAATGACTATACCCTTATAAGAGAAGAGGACAAGGAGAAAGACACACCCAGAGAAAGCCATGGGAAGACTGGGCAGAGATTAGAGTGATGCAGATCCAAGCTAAGGAAGCCAACAGTCGCTGGGACCACCAGAAGTTAGGAAGAGGCAAGGAAGGACTCTTCCCTAGAGTCTTTAGAGGGAGTATGGCCCTGCCAACATCTTGATTTCAGAATTCTCTTTTTTAGAACTAGGAGAGAATAGACTGATATTATTTTAAGCCAACAAGTTTGTGATCACTTGTTATAATGTCCCTAGGAAACGAATACAGGGAGTTTCTGGGAAAAGTCTCTTTACTCAAACAAGAGGCTCACAGGGAGAAGAGAAAAAGTTGATGGACAAGGAAATGGCAAAAGTTCCATGTGGCCGGGGCACAGGTTGAATGGTGAGTCAACGCCCAAGAAGAGCCTGAAGAGGTAGTAGGACTGAGTGTGCTATCTCCGTAAGTACGGAAAAGCAGCAGATGCTAGATTGTGTGAAGGACCGGGTCAAGGGAATTATGAGTGGGAAAGCAAAACCATTCTCTGAAAACAGGTCTTTGTTTTCTTTTTACGTGCTATAAATGATGGCTTGCTTTTTTCTGTAAGTGTCGGCTAAAGTGAATTGTCTGCTTCCTGTTGTGTGATTGTCCACATTTCCTGGGGATTCTGCACTGCCTACACCCAACTGCTGCTCTTGCTCTTAGGGTAGTTCAGACTCCCCGAGGGGCAGGCAATGAGGAGAGAAGGCTTCTCTAACAGGAGAAATTAGCTTGTCACCCACCGCTGCTTAGTGTGAGGAGATGGCCACATCCTCCTGCTTCCTACTCAGATACTCTCTGTTCCACACAACCAAACATTTGGTGCACATCCTGGCCTGAAATCCCATCTTCCCCACTAACATCACCTTCCAAAGAGAGACTTTTTAAAGTGAAATTTCCTTTTTCAGGAAGACTTAGTCCCCTTCAAACAGTGTCATCTCTTAGCCAACACAAATTCCTAGAACCCAGTCACTCACTCTGGACTCTGACAGAGGACAAGTGGGCTGTGGTAAACTCCCCTGTCAGCCTGCTCAGATGACACATATGTATTCTAACAAGGACCCTCTGGGGATGCAGAGTTTCAGACAACGCAGGAGGTAGCTGATGCATGTACTTTTGAACAGAGGAGCACAGTGACCTGACAGGAGTTGATCCTTGGAGGCTCATCTACTTTGAATTCAAAATCCACTACTTGCTGACTGCATGGTCTTGAGCAAGTTACTTAACCCCCTAAACCTCAATTTCATCATCTAAAAATAAGGGTAAGAGTCACACCTACCTAATAAAGTGGCAGTGAATAATAAGTAGCTAATGTGGAGCCTGGTATGAATCACTGTGGTTCTTAATATTTCAGAGCAGAGGCTCTCAACCTTGATACTACTGACGCTCTGGGACAGGTAAATTCTCTCCTCTAGGAGACTATTCTGAGCACTGTAGAATGTTTAGCAGCATCGTGACTTCTGCTCACTAGAGGCTAATAGCATACCGCACCTACTTCATCCCTGAGGCATGACATAAAAATGCCTACCAATATCACCAAGTATTCTGTGGGGGGCAAAATGGACCCTGATTGAGAACCACTGCTTCAGAGTCAAGGAGCAGGTTTTTGCACACCTCTGAAGAAACAGTGATTGATGATTTTCTGCTTTGCCTTGAGGTATGGTAGAGTCCACGCAAGTGATTTGGTTATGAGTAGTAACATTTTCCCTGTTGAAATGAAAAACCATTGTTTCCGACCACTGACGTTAAGTGTGTCTTGTCTAGTGTGCTTCTTCACATTTTCCGTCTATGGGCAAGGGAGGTTGAAACAGGTCCTGAGGATGGGATCTGACAGTGGAATCACTTTCCAACACTGGCATCCCTTGGTATCTTATTTTTCTCCTTAAACATTCATACCTATCTCTCTTCCATCCAACTCAATAGCATGTTCATTCTATTTTCATAAAAATTGTAATGTCCCCCCTCCGCCTTTACTTGAGTAAAATATTTAATGAGGGGCAACATTTCATCCTGGGTGTTTGGAATCCCAGGCATACAACCAAGTAACCCACTTAGAACAGAATCATGTTGTAGGGATGCACCTTGATTTGCTGGTGGTGTTTTCTTCAGAAGGTATTGGGCAGAAATTTTTTATTTTGTGGGTTGATTTCACCAACCAGATAAACGTGCTTTAACTTACCCAGTTTCCCTTTGTTTCTACATTGCTTTTTTAAAATTTTTATAAATGCTTGATTTTTTTTTTTTTGAGAGAGAGAGAGAGAGAGAGAGCAGGGTATGGGCAGAGAGAGACACACACACAGAATCTGAAGCAGGCTCCAGGCTCTGAGCTGTCAGCACAGAGTCCAATGTGAGGCTGAAAGCCAAGAACCGCGAGATCATGACCTGAGCTGAAGTTGGATGCTCAACAGACTGATACACCCCGATGCCCCACTTCTACACTGCTTTTTAAAACATTGGCTTTTCAGGGGTGCCTGGGTGGCTCAGTAGGTCAAGCATCTGACTAAGGCTCAGGTTGTGATCTCATGGTTCGTGGGCTTGAGCCCTGAATTGGGCTCTGCATTATGGAGCCTATGTGGGATTCCTTCTCTCCTCTTTCTGCGCCTGCCTCTCCCTCTCAAAAGAAGTAAATAAACTTAAAAAAATAAAACAAAAGGGAAAGAATCCCTGTTCCCTGTTTCAGAATCCTTAAAAACTCAACTTGAAAAGGTGATACTATCAAAAAATTAATAAACACTGAAATAATTTCCCCCCAAAGCTGATCAAACAGAATCTTAAACATTTAAAAAAAGCTGTTTGAAAGAGTGAGTCCTAGCAGATATTTCATTCTGTATTCTGTAAAATGTGTATAAAAGACATTAGGCTCTGGTCTTGTTGCTTTTCCAGTCATTCTCCATTCCCCTACCAGACCATCGAGAAGAACATCATATTAAATGCTAATTTTCATTTTTATGATTTAATGAGCTACTTCTGAGAAAGCTGCTATTTCACCAGTCCATTAGAAATGTCTGGAATGGCGAGTGCTGAATTAAGGCTTAGGTCACCCGGCTGAAACTAATGTCAGTATTTCCGTTACTCATTTATGTTCTTTAGCCCCTTGGACACACCTCCACTGGTTACTAGGCAACCACAGCTTCCTGTAGTTAGTATACATTAAGCATGAACTCAATGCGTGAGTATGGAAAGGATCTGAATATTTGAATGAGAAGGCAATCACGAGCTGAACTAGACTATTATCTTTGTTATTAGGTAAGACAAAATGTGGGGACTTCACTGTTTTTCAGAAAGCGGATTAATAACACCTGACCAAAAAGCTTTCATGCTTACAGGTGCCCTGGTACACACAATAGCCTCAGAGATGGAGGATATGGGAAACCTCAAAGGAGTCCTCCTAATGAGATGGAGGGATTCCTGTTAAGAACTGTGTTTAGGACAGGGCTCTGTAAGCCCTGCTTCTTAGGCCCTTTCACTCCTTGTACCGGTGGGAAGGGAGAATCGAGGGGAGAAAGGGAAGCTTTTCATATCAGGGTAATTTTACCACTGTAGTTAAGGTCTGCAAACGTTTCTTGCCAAAGGAGAATTCAAAGTGCTGTGGGGACGTGCTAGGAATTCAGGGGGGGGCCTGCTTTGTGTTACTCATGGTGGCACTGCTGGCCACGTAGGAGGTGTGGGAACTGAGTGGGGCTGTATCTGTGCCGGGATAAAACGAAACTACTGAATCGAGGTCATGAGAGGCTCGTTTGCAGTGACTGAATTGGGAAGAATGTAGTCTTATCTGGAACATGATGAGTCTTTTTCCTCTTCAAATGTGCCTTTTGTGGATGCTACTACTCTGGGAAGAAATTCAACTTCAGAAGGGAGACCATGTGATACTACAGTTTTTCATGTATATTAGGAAGGAATGGTATAATAATAAAAACATGCTCTTAGAAAAAGAGCCACCATACTTATCTATGCAACTGGAATTGGAAGAAAAATTATGGCAAGTATGCGACACACACATAAACACAAAAAATATTCCAGCCCACTGTTAAGGAACTGTAAGGAATGACAGAAAAGAGAGCTACATTATTCATCTATTTTTGATCATTTGAACGTATCAGGCTCACTGTGTAAGATTTTGCTGAAGTAAACTGTACAGATTCAAAAGTCAGGTTTTGAAAGTTACAAAAATCAACTGATGGTTAAAATGCAAGCTAAAACAATAAGCTGTCACTCACACGAATGCATTAACATTGAAGCACATTATGATTAACTTTTGTAAACACATCATAATCCTTAGGTTTTGATAGGAAAGCATTGTTCCATCCATTCTCGTGAGGATCACGATTTAAAAAAATACTGCTTACATAAAGGTAAATAGCATTCTGCAAACTCTTCTGGGAAATTAAAGGGGAACTCAGCACACAAAAGACAGAACTCAACAGGCAGGGACATAACCTGGAGCTGTGAATAGAAGTATTATTTTTTCTAAGATACTATATATTTATTTTCCTCAAAGGTAGATACTGCAGGGTACATATGCTACTCATATTTAAATTTCTTTTCACTCTGGAATATTAAAAAGTCATCCATATAACAGAAGGAGACCAAAGACACAGGCTGATATCTTTTTGTTTTAATATATGGGATATTTATAGATAGCACTTTACATTTTTCTAGGAAACGAGTATGTTGCAATCACTTTAGCTGCCATTTTTAGCATCACGTTATGCCTGTCAGCACCTGGACTATTTTGATATTCCCATTAAAGGGCAGTTTATGGCTTTGGGGCTGTGGTTTCACACACGTGCACACCAGACAATATGCAGGATGTGAGCCAGGAAGACATTTCTGGTTTTGCTCAGCCATATGTCCAACACCTAGCAAAGCTCCTGCTAGTTCTCAATAAGTACTTGATGAATAGTAAATCCACTTCTTTGTTTTGTAAATAAAACCGAATCAACCTTGTTTTCTTAGTCTTTCCTTACATCTAGAAACTTCTTTTGCAGGAAAATAAGACCAAGAGTATAAAATACTGGCTCATTTGTTGTACGATGGACAGGAGTTTGGTGGTAGGAGACTCAGATAGGTCCTACTTTGCTGCTAATTTTGGGGGTACTACTTAACCTCTTGGGCTCAACTTCCTCAAATGTAAAATTAGGAGTTGCTATGGTCTGAATGTTTGTGTTGCCCTGAAATTCATATGTTGAAATCCTAATGCCCAACGTGATGCTATCAGAATGTGGGAGGGGACTCTGGGGTTGATTAGATCATGAGGGCGGGGCCTTCGTGAGCAGGATTAGTGCTCTTATAAAGGAGGCCTGACACAGCTCCCTAGCCCCATCTGCAATTGAGGACACAGAAAGCATGTGCCTGCTTTGAACCAGGAAATGGGTCCTCATCAGAATGTGACTATGCTGGTGTCCTAATGTACTTCCCGGGCTGCAGAACAGTGAGAAATTTCTCTTTATAAGCTACCTAGTCTTAAACATTTTGTTATAGAGGCTTGAATGGACTATGAGAGGGGTCTAGTATAATAATCAGAAATATCCTTTCTGATGCTTAAATTCTGTGATCCTAAGACATAATTGATGGCAAATCAAAGTAGGATATTACCTGAAATAATGATGCGTTATTTATCTCAGGTTCCCAGGTGCCTAGCACAGAGCCAGGGAGCATAAGAGATATGTAATATGAGCAAACAAGTGAATGATCATTATAGGTATAAATGTGGCCTAAGCATCACCAGGATTTTCTACCAATGGAAGAAACCTTTCTCTATGGATACCAATATTCGCAATTAAAATGAAGTCAGAAGATTGCTGTTTGCAAATTTTGAGTTTTATTCATACCAATTGTTTTTCTTATACATGATAATTGAATAGTGTGATTTTTAGAAAAATTCAGAACACATTTATGTACCCTCTTAAGAAGTGCTAACAGCATCATTATGTCTACAGAATTTTTTACTTTGTATGCAAAACAAATTTTTATACTTAATTACAAATATTCATTTCATAAATATTTTTGAAGAGAAAAAAGAGAAACAGAAATCCTTGCCTTAAAAAGCCCCCGGCACTGGTGGTGATTCTATATACTGCATAGCCCTAAAATTCTATCAGTCGACAGCATTAGACATCATCTCCAAGCTTCTGCTCACATCAATACATGAGGTTTTTGCACAGTGTCAGAACCACAAGGTGCTGCATCTTTTACACTCTTGTTGAAAAGAAATAGTGCTAATTTTAGCATCAACCTAAACATAAACTTATTTGCCAATGAGAAAAAGACTTATAAATAGATTACTCCTCAGGAAATACTTTAAATGGAAAATTCTAGCATTATCTTATATACATATTCTTATAGGATTAAACTGGAAAGCTTTTTTTAGTGAGGTAGTTTGCTGCAGCAGAAAGATACTGCTTAACACTCTCCTTCTGCCACTTAGCAGAAATGTGACATTGGCAAGTTACCTACACTCTTGGAACCCCCCTAGTATTCTTATCTGAATAAGAAGGGAAACAATAGCTAATTTGAGAGGCTATTATGAAATGAAGTAAGATAATGTTCACAGAGTATCTGGCTTGGTGCTTGGCACAGTGGCAATGGATCCCCTCTTTCTTGTAAGGTCTCCCTTCCCCTAAGGGAGCTCTCCCTTTGCTCGGAACACTGGGTGAAGTGTTATGATCTTCACTACACTGGAAGCACCGAAGCGTATCTCAAAATACGACCCTCCAGACTTCATTCAAAACCAAAAAATGAGACTACTGTGAGCTTGGTATAGGTGAATCAAAGATAAAGAAAAGACTTGGCATTTGTCCCTGAAGAAAATTTTAAAGGGAAGACAGACAGATAACGTGAGAAATGACAAGAGGCTGCATGAATGAGTGAGATGGCTTTTCTTTCTATCGTCTACAATTGGAGCTGATCTGGTAATGGCTCAAAGGGCTACGTGAATTCTGAGAAGGACTGATGATGACCATTGACCCAAGGGGTGGTCATCAATGACTTCACTGAAATGGTAACAGCCACAGCTTTGATGTGTCTTTGAAAGATGTCTGGGGCACTGCAAGTCACTGAAGAGGGTGTGTGTGTGCGTGTGGGGGGTTTGGAGAGGAGTGTGAGTGGCGGAAGAGTCCAGGCAGAAGAACCAGCATGAGCAAAAGTAAAAGCTCAGAGAGCATGGCTTAGGGAAGGCAGATCAGGTGATTCCTGTGCTAGCAAAGACCAACTATTATTTTCTAGTCTTCACAACAACTTATACATAACTTCAGGTTAAGGATCTGAGGCTCCGAGAGGTCAAGTAACTTGTTGCTCAAGGTTACATGTGCTTAAATGAAGCAAATGAAATAAAAGGGGGAAGAGGATTTTTAAAGTATGAATTTCAGAAAAAACTTACAGAATGGAAATAATGAGATTTGAATATAAATTAGGAAGTTGATTTAGACAGTCACATTTTAAAAGAAAAGAATAGGAATGTTGAAAAGAAAGAATCTATGTTTGAAGTGAGGCCATTCAAGATTAGGGTGAGATCTCCTAATACAGGCATGTTCTGAAATGACGTAAGGTTTTTAATAATAAAAAATGTTGCTCTGTGTTTTAACGTTACTTAATGATTATATTACATGAGAGACAGTGATCATGATCATTAAGTACTCAGAGTCTGAAGCCAGACTGTCCGGATTTGAATTTTCACCCCCAACTTAACCTCAGGTCAATTATTTAACCTCCCTGGGCCCTAGTTTACTTTTTTTAAATGAGGAAATATAATATTACCTATGTCATAGGATTGTTTAAGCATGAAATGAAATATATGTGTATATAGAAGAGTGGCATAAAGTGAGAACTCAGTAAGCATTAGCTATCGTTGCTTTGGGCCTTAGTCTTTATTCACCAACCATTTATTTAAAAATTATCTACAGCAAGCCAAGGACTGGGCCAGTTTCCAGGAATACCAAGATGGATTACAGATGATTTCTGCCTTTACACACATTTGATTTTTTCCAATATCCTATTCTCTGGCTCAGCAGAAATACTACTGACTACATCTTGTTTAAAGCACTTTCCTGAACTATTTGGGCAGCAGTGATGTAAAATTTCCATTGACAATATTGCTCATTAGTGTAAGGACTCATACCTCCACTCCTACTTTTCCTCCAATATGAGGAGAGGTTCAGCCTGAGCTATCTTTCATTACATGTTTCCCTCGACCCACCTGGCAACATTATGAAGTTAGTGAGGTTATTTCAGGAGGTCCCCTCCTACTTATGTGAACCAAACGTCCAGAAGCTGAGTGTCTGTGCCATTCCCTCAGGAGTCTCTGGCTTGCTAACTCATTAGACTTATATGTGATGTAGTATGCATTATTAATGGATGCATTTCTTTCCCTGAGAGTATTTTTTTAAAATATGACTTTATAAAGCCTCATTTTCATAAGCTGGAGAGAAATGTTAATGATTAGAACTTTCAGTGCTGCACTAAACTAAGGAAGGTTTGTTTTGAGACCATCGGTTATTCACTGCTTCTTAAACCACAGTACAAAGCTATTCACCTCTGTGTCTCTCAATTTTAGGTTATCAAGGGATCCATGTCATTCTGCTTGTGATGGCATTTTCACATTGTCAGAAGAGATCCTCAATTAGGGCACTGCAGGTTTAGCATTAACACTGAATAGATTAAAATTGTTGATAGGAGGAACGCCATGTCCTTTTGAACGTACCCACAATACATTAAAATGGACAGATTAACAGTCACAGTAACTTCTGAGACAAGATTGAAAAGAAAAATGCCTCCATAAATAAGTAAGAAGGAAATGAAAAAGGCAAGGTACTTGCATTTAAAATGGCCAAGTGCAGTGATTTTGTCAAAAGCTACTTTAATATCAAGGAAGCCCTTTAGAGTAGGATTGTTGAGACAGTGGTGAATTGTTTACCTGCCCAAAAAAAGACAGACACATATGGCATCTGATCACTTAGCTTTCTAATACAGCCAGTATTTAATATAGGAGATGTGAAAAGATCAGATCATAAGGCATCTTGAAGTAGCAAACTATCGTTACTGAAAGAGAAAGGTCAGATCCATAATCAAATAGATGTGAAGCTCTTGACTTAAATGTGAGCGCGGGAATGAGATGGAGGCCCTAAGGAGCAGTTCTCATCTGTACAGAAGTTTGTGCAATGTGAGTATTTAAAAAGTAACAATCATATTTGGTACCTGAGAATTTAAAAATCTTCCTATTAATTTGATATGCAAAACAAGAATATGTCATCAACTTCCTGAGCAGCAACAAATTAATGCTACAACCTCATACAGCTTAGAACATGGCTTAACTAAATTAATTTAAATTTTTTTCAGTGTAGAAAAAACATCCAACTTTACATTTAACTTAAAATGCATTTTCTAAAAATAGTTTTCCTTGGGAGAAGTAAGTAAATTCCTGTTCGCTTTTTTCCCCCAATAACTTCAGGAGTAATTAATGAAGGACTCGTTGGTCAATCTCAATCTAACTAGAAAAGAGAAAACACTCTTAATATTTTAAGAAGATGGAATTTAATCTAGAGGAATGGTTACCTGGATGACAGAAGAACTGAGAGCTAAACAGGGGATAGTGAATCAACTTGGAGATCAGCAGCAGCAGGAAGCTAAAGGCATTACCTACCACCCACAAATCTCAAGGGAGAAAGGGAAGCAGTGATATTACTGGAGCTCAGAGTTCAAGGTCACAGGGGAGAGGGGAGGGAGGGGGAAGCTGAAGACTATGGGATCTCAGGGCAGGAAAATACAGCCCTTAGGGATCAGCCCCCATGAAACCAGTAGAGTAGGAGCAGGGCAAGGAATGGATGAGAAGGTAAAAACAAGCATAGACCAGCAGAACTGGAAAATAGAGTTAAGTAAAGACATTTTTCATTTTCATTTTATCCTCCGAAGTGTTATACCAGGCAAATTGATTTACGGATCATTTCAGATGGCTCTAAGTTTAGCTCCTGGGAACTGCCTACAACAAACATCTTGTAAATAAATTAAATCACCATTTTAGTTCCACACGCAATCTCAACAAACCACATTTACACACCCTGAAGATTATGAGAGAATGAGCACCTTCGCTTTGACGTTAATAAAAAGTATAAAGGGAGCATCGGTGTCTTCTGGATTCTATTTGGAAAGTGGTCAGTGCTCTGTCAGTTGCATTGTTTTATTCAGAACTGTGAACAGGGGTTTATTCTGATGTTCTGGAAATTAACACTCTTCAAAGTAAATAATAAAATCGCACTTTGAAAGCTGGACTCAGGAGGAGGTGGAAAGCCACACAGTTTCCTCAATAAGACCACCTCTCAATTCCTCCATTCCTTTCCATTTTGCTGACAAATAACCATGGCATATGTTATTTCATAGCATGGACTAACAGTCCATGGACTGGACTAACAGTAAAGCACTAATTGCAGGCATATGTCTTTCATAGCATGGAAGGGTAATTATGAATGATGATGTAAAAAATATTTGTATCCACCCATTTTATGGCCAAGCAAAACAAAGCCTAATGTGTGTGCGTACGTGTGTGTGCTTAATCACATCCAGCAGTTTAGAAACAGCACCTAACTTAAACCATGTCCTACTTTAATTTAGGCAGTATAAAATCTCCCCAGGGCAGCCTCTGAAATGTTAGCCTTGTCTCTCACACATAGACATGTTAATGATTAACCGTCACTATCATCATCAAATTTCTCCCTAGTTTATGCCATTAAAGCATAGTTTTGTCTCATTCTGGCTTATTACTCTGATACGAAGTACTTTTGTATATTTAAAATATTAGATGGCCTTTAGAGTAGAACAAAGTATGAGGCATTTGCTTAACAGGAACCAGGAAGAATGTCAGGCATCTGTATCTTACACCTCACACTTCAAGTGATTCCTAGTAGCAACAGAGCCACAAAAGGCACAGAAACCAAGTCTTGGCACCTCACTAACAGTACGGAACACTGATCACATTTAACCCCATTTTCTTTTCATGAAAAGGAGAGAAGCACTTTCAGGGGAAACAGTTCAATGTCCACCTTAACGTCTTTGTTTCAGATACACTCACCTAAAATTCAATGAAGAAACAGCATGAACTTTCCAAAACCATCTATTTTCTTTTCTTTGAAATGGCAGTTGATTATGGCATTTAAAGACTTTCTAAGCACTGTATCCAGGGATTGGTAAATCTTCATTTATCTGAAATGAGAAAATATACTTTTATTTAGCTAAGCAACTTACACTTGCATGTTTACTACAAACAAGAAGCCAGAATGGGCAGATCGAAAACAAACGGTATTTTTCAAATCCCCTCATACACTAATAATGATTTGTAATACTCAAACTCAGAACCTTGGTTTTCATTTACTCTAAGAAATATTTAGAAAAATGAACATTGGTGCCAGAAGACACTTTACAGATAAGGATGGTGAGGCCCAAGGGGGTGACGTGACTGTCCAAAAGCTGGTTAGTGACAGTGGCCTTGAACCTTGGGGTCCTGACATACCTCTTCATTGTTAGTTTATTAAAAACCCAGAAATGCAAAAACAAGGAATCTTCTGTGTTTTCCAAGTAGGTAATTTTCTGGAATATTGTGTCACCATAATTTCTACCAAAGCCAAGGAAATTAGAGCTGAGGTCAGAATCCTTAGACCAGCATTTCCTCGAATGATTTAAGCCTGAGCAATCACAAGTGGACAGCTTACAAAAGAAGACTACCGCAAGGGCAACCTGACATTATTTAATGGTTCGTATGATTTATTACGTTATGTAGTAATAACATAAATAACAAATAGCTTGTAAAATTGCCTGTTAATATTTCTTAACAAAGCTGAACGATTTCTACTCTTGTGCCTTCTGGGAAAATTCACAGATAAGAACTGAAAAGAGAGAAGTTCTAGGTGGCGCTTCCCAGATGACTCCCCAGAGGCGACCCACGCACTCACTCACCATCTGCCATCAGCTAGTCTCTTTCACCAGTCTTTCTTCTTCCCTTTCCCTGCCTCCTTACCAACTTATAGGCTGGATGTTACCACCCCAGGTGCTGGGTAGCTTGAAGCAGCAGGAAGCTGAAGCTCAGGAAATCCCATATTAAGATGAAGGAAAGCAGTAGAGAGGGTGGAGATTGTAGAAAATAAAGGAGAGCAGGCATCTGATGACAGTGGGGATAGAAAAGGAAGGGACAGGAGCCTGCCTTTGCACCCCAGATGGGAGAAAGAAAGGTACCCTCTGTCTCCAGCTCCACGCCTACCAATTCCCTCCCAACTGACTTCTTCAACCCCAGTTATCAAAAAGGATTACAGTAATTATTTTAGCTCTTATGGTTTCTGGCACGCTATGATTTTAGGTTCCTAGAGAAAATTCTATACAATAACTCCCCCCTGCTATAATCTAGGTCTTCAGATATATTCATTTTTGTATGAGATTTATTTCACAGGAGATAAAGACATGTTCACTGTACAATTAACCCTTGTTCTGTGTCATATTAGAACTCAGCCATCTTTTCCCATACTTGGATTCTTGGTACATACATGTACATGGCATTCTTTGAATAAATGTATTATTTAACAGTAGTTTCAAACATTTTTGTTTGTTTTCTTAAAGTACATGTTACTTTTTTTTTATTGGGGGTTCAGGTAAATTAGACCTATGCATCTGGGAATAAGTTACATATTACAGATATTCTCTCTGCCTCATGAATGCAGCTCTCCAAGCACCAGAATCAGGAATAAATGGAAATCTTACAATCTTATATACTTTTATATAAGATTATGTAATGTGTGTATATGTATGGATTACATATATGTTTATAATAAAGTTTATACAGTTAGGATGAACTTACATCTAGCTGGCAATATAGAATCACTCAAGCAATCCCTTGGTATTGGCCTGGGGACCTCTTGGGATCATGCTGCTGGTGTTTGCTCCTCCACTTGACAATCTGGGGAAAGGTGTTTTGCATTTTTGGTTTCTGTCCAGCTCCCTGGATTATCCCAGACTGCAAGAGACTAGGAGGGAGACAAGACTATGCTCAGAGGGAGATGCTGTGCTAAAGTATCCCGCAGGATGGTTCAGGTTGCATGCCTTCACCGAGATCTATGACTCCAATAAAAGTTGCAACTTGAATGATACCTTGACTGTAAGCTGGCTTTCATGTTTGCTATTCCTCCTCCACTAGAAGTGGTCCAGTTTAGTTTCAGCTTATGCATCTCACCCAGGCAGTGATCAAAAGCAGATGTTGAATCTGGAGGCCATGCTCTCCTTACCCCTCTTGGCTTCTATTCCACCTGACTACTTAAGAGTACAATTCCACCTGACTACTTAAGAGTACACAGAACTGAGTATCTATGATTCTTTCTACTCTGAGCCTGCGGGTGGCGGTCTCCCAAAGTGACACTGAGTTAAAGGCATCCATCCTTCTCTCTCCTCTGGTGGCGGCCCACTGGACACTTGCAAAGCAAAAGTCTCACGTGAACATTGAGTGGGAATAAATACCAGTACCTTTCTCTCTTCAAGTTCTTCTTTACATTCTATATCAGCTAGCAAATTCTAGTTTCACTAACTTGTGACTAGAAATTAAAATTTAGTGTCCAGAGATAAAATAAAATACTGTCTCCATTTTCTGGCTACCTGAAAAGCTTTCAGCCACTGTCTGGATTGAAGGTAGAAGTCAATATCTTACCACAAGAGAAAGGAGTATTTTGTCAATTTGGGGTGCCTTGTTTTAGACGTATAGGTTGGGTGGAAGTGGCAGGAAGCAGATTTTTGCTTAATAAAATAAACCCCTCAACTTAGAGCACATAAAAATAGAATGGGCCATCTAAAAAAAGAGTAATTTTCAAACTAATGGTATCAATTTAGCTTAAGTCTCGATAATCACTTACGGTGGTGGGATTTGGTCAAGCACATGCAGTCATCACACAAGAATGGTGTAAATGGTCACTCCCAACAGAGATTATGTGGTAGCCAGATGAATATTAGACTGGAGTGGAGTTAACCACCTTTTTTCATATTGATGCCTTTACTGATCTTCCCATCTAAAACAGCACCCCTTCCTCATTCTCTACTGCTTATTCTGATGTGATCTCCTGCATAGCACTAGCACTATTTATTATTTATTCATTGTTTGTCACTTTACATTAGAATATAAGCTCCCCAAGGGCAGGAGTCTTGTTCACTGCTGCATCTCTGATGCTTAGAACACTGCCTGTCACATAGTAGGTCTGCAGCACTATTTACTGCATGAAGAATGCACATAAATTTATACTTCTCTTTTCTTATCAATATTTGATCCAATTTCCTTTTTCTTACCCCTATCAGTTGGCACCATTCTGAAAATGATTCAGCTGGATGAATTCAAAGGCCTTTATTCACATGGAAAAGATGGACAATCCAAGTAGGCATTTTATCTACTTTCACTGTTATGCAGGGAAAAGAGAGCCTGCATGTTAAAAGGAGGATGGAAGATGGTGCTCTCCAGTAGTTATTCCGTAGTTGTTTCTTCTTTTTCACTTATGCTCGGGAGACTATAGCTCCATGAGTCTAGCTGACTACATTTTCAGAGGTTAGGATGGACCCACATTCAGATCACTGTAGTCATAGGGGGCAGGTTCTGTGCTATGAGAAGCAGCTACAGATGATGAAGACCAGAGACCTACAAAAGGCACTCCAGAGAAATGTGTGGATGGACAGCCACACTACATTCAGAAGCATATGAAACCTGGTCTTTTCTGTGTTTGACATTGTCTGTTGGCATCAACTGTAGAGGCTGTTCGTGGGTTTTGGCTAAGAATGATTAAAGTCACTTGCGAAATAGTAACCACTTGTCCAAGTAATTTCTCAACAACTGAAATAGGTCCTGTTATTTTTATGAGGGGCTCTGTTGTCATAGTCACAAATGCCATGCTAGGGTCTCACGCCAGGGCTGAGGTCGAGCTCAGGGTTCTGGCAACCCCTCTTCTGCAAACACGTCATCAGCCAGATTCTCAACAACAAAGAAGAAGCTAGAAGGGGAAGAAAAACTATTCTTAAAGGTACCTGCAGTGTCTTCTAGTGTTGTAGAAGGAAGACTGAACTATGATCGGAAGCTGGGGTTTTATTTTTTTCTCTATACTAACTAGTTGGGCAAGTCATTTACTGTTAACTGGATTTCGGTTCTCTCATGGTAAACAGAGGGCATTGGTATAGACCAATGGTCCTCAACCGGGGGTGATTTTGTAGCATCACAAGGAAATTTGGTAATGCCTGGAGAAAGTTTTAGTTGTGGAAGGAAGGTAGGTACTACTGGTATCTAGCAGGTAGAGCCCAGGGATGCTGTCTAGGATAGTACCCAACAAAAAATAATGATCCAATCCAAAATGACAGTAGTGCTATTTAGAACCATCCAAACTCTGGTCTGGAAATCTCAAGTCCCTCTCAGTTCCAAGGATTTGTTCGTGTTGACACAGGGTTTAGCTTGAGAACTAGGCAGGTCTTGGCTGTTTGTACATATTTCCTATTAAGGGCATAGACTGTTACTTCAAGCTCCTAGGATCAAGAGGCTGTAGCACTGGGACAGTCTAGCTGTTCAGCTCCAGTGTGGCCCCATCACAGAAGGGCAAGATCACACAGCTTGGCAGACTCCCCCCAAAGGGATTCTAGGTCCCAAGGGAAGCCCTAGTGAAACTGGCTGCATCTGTCTCTGTGAAGTTTTTACATCTGTCCAAACAATCAAAGACAATAATGTAATTTCAGAGGAGGTTGTGCACCTGTCATTTCTTTCCTTAAAATGACAGCCTAATGGTTGCAGAAACAGGGGATGAACTTCACAACTTAAGAAATACAGGTACATATCCAGGGAAAGTAAGGTTCCTACCATGCTGCCCCTCTCAGTCACCTACCTTAATACTCCCTTGAACTCATAACAAGACTGCGAGAAATACGCACTCCAGGCCTATTTCAAGAAACTAAAAAAAGTGCAAATACAAAATCTAACAGTGCACCTAAAGGAACTAGAAGCAGAACAACAAGAGCACCCCAAACCGAGCAGAAGAAGAGCAATAATAAAGATCAGGGCAGAAATAAACTATAGAATCCAAAAAAAAGCAGTTGAACAGATCAATGACACGAAGAGCTGGTTTTTTGAAAAAATAAACAAAATTAATAAACCTCTAGCCAGATTTCTCAAAAAGAAAAGACAGAAACCCCAAATAGACAAAATCGTGAATAAAAGTGGATTTATTACAACCAATCCCTCAGAAATACAAGCAATTATCAGGGAATACTATGAAAAATTATATGCCAACAAACTGGACAACCTACAAGAAACGGACAAATTCCTAAACACACATGCAGTACCAAAATTCAAAGAGGAAGAGATAGAAAATCTGAACAGACCCATAACTAGTGAAGAAATTGAATTAGTTATCAAAAATCTCCCAACAAACAAAAGCCCTGGGCCAGATGGCTTCCCTGGGGAATTCTACCAGACATTTAAAGCAGAGTTGATACCCATTCTTCTCAAGCTATTCCAAAAAACAGAACTGGAAGGAAAACTTCCAGACTCATTCTACGAAGCCAGCATCACTTTGATTCCCAAACCAGACTGAGACCCAGCAAAAAAAGAGAACTACAGGCCAATATCTTTGATGAATATAGATACTTGCATTTTAAAAAGACATCCTTCACCCTGGATGTTTACGGACTTGCACTGCACGTGGCCTGTGCTCCTCAAGGAGGAATTCAATCTCTAAGAATTCACTTGAGTGCCATAACTTCCTTCTCTTTAAAAAGAAGAAATTTTAAAAAAAAATTAGCTATATGCTAGTGTTTGTGAGTAAACAAGTTTAATAAAAATGGATCAAGAGATGGCTGGAAACTTACAAAGTTATTTTGATAAAGTAACTTTCTTTTTAGAAAATGTGGAATATGTAATAAATTATAAAGAAAGCTAATGTCACCCACATGACACTACCCAGAGGCAATCCTTGGAAGATTTTATAGGCTTGCTTCCAATTATATACATGTATATATGTATTTGCACACACACATATACACACACAGAGTTTTTAATGAAATTAATGGATTATAAACTATAGAAAATTTTGTTTCAAGTTTTGTGTTTGTTTTACCTTTTGTATCCCATTATTAGTGATCCAAACATATTCAGCATAAAAACTTCTCCCTTTTTGGCTATGAGATTATGTTATCAAAGTTATTAATGAAAGGCTCTGACATATATAATGATAATGGGACATCTGTACTCACTAAATGATTCTTTAGTTTCTTCTAATAGTTGAACACACTCACACTCATACAGACCCCATTTCTGCTACATTTTAGGGTAAGACAGTAGATCATCATCAGTAGAGCTTATTTTGTTATGGAAACCTCTATTGCACAAAACCCATGTATCCCAAAATATCAGATAAAGAGGAGTATTTTCCCGGAATGCACATGTAAAGAGTGATTATCTCATTCTGTATCTTTTCAAAAAATAAAATTGCAAACCATTCAGTGTCTCATTTGCTTACAAAAACAATGACTAAACTTAAGTAGCTCAAGTTTCCTTAGATAAAAATCTCATTTCACTAAATCAAGTAAAACAACATACAACTAAAACAATGTAGGCAACAAGCATGCCAGAGCAGTGACCTCATTAAACCTATAAACTCTCTGTGTTGAAATTAACTCCAAGTAGGGTATAAAGATGAACATACTTTTGCTGCCCAGGTAAAAATTATTTACCCAAGATCAGTTTATTGTCTCTTGCATCACCGTACACCTGCCAGTTTGGTCAAAAAGAGAGAATTAAACTGAATGTGGAAGGTTAAATCGAACTGTGCCAAAGTTTAATTCAATTAATTTTTAAGAAGACAAACTTTTAATTAGTCACATGCAGGTATATCATAGATTCTACTGAAATCTCCCTGCGATTACGTGACCATCAATATCTTGCTCATATGTTGTGCTCATTCATTTGCTAATGTGCTGCACAGTTCTAAGAGATTAATGATACAATGTGTTTGATGTGAAGTGTGTTGGTGTGATTTTACCATGATATAAAGATCAAGACAAACAGAAAAGAAGAAAGGAAGGAAGGAGCCAAGGAAGGAGGGAAAGAAGTTAAGTCATGAAACTGGATATAGGGGGAAAAACACCAAAATTAAGAAAAGATTTCCTAGGACCTTAAACCAGTTACATTAATGACATTATAAAAAGGAGACGGTGGATAGAGGAGTAAACATTTGCCTGCAGAGTACTAAACCTTCCACAAATACCCTGAATTAATTTTTTGTAGGAAGCACATGGAATTCCATATTTTGAAAACACATTACTCTTCTCTAATATGCATAAAACTTAGCCATAAAGCTCACTCTGGTAAAACAACATGTATGCAAATGTAGCGATTATATTTGGATGCAATTTCAGTGACAAACACTCTGGCATGAAAACCAGATCCTTACTTATTCATTTATTTGCAATATTTCTTATACATCAGAGATAAATATTTATGTGAATAATATGGAAGGGACTTTCCTTAGAAGAAGAAATACTTTTTTTTGTAAATCATAAGGAGAAAGAAGGATCTAATTCTGGGAAAGAATGTTTGGGGCTTGCCCTTCAGTGATGTATTTCTACCATGACTGATGGCTTTGAATGTGCCAAATGTCTTAGTAGCCACCTGAGGGCTACTGAGAACCTCACTTATACCATTTACATCTGACTTAGAGGGGATACATAGCTTTTTTAAAAATGAAGATAAAAGACATAGTATTTAATTTGATATCAGTAAGGTGCCATGCCTCTTTGAAGTTAAAAAAAGAGATAACTATATGCCACATCATAGGTTCTCAGACTTTTTGTTCTGAAAACTCCACAGAGCTTTTGTTTACGTGTGTTATATCTATCAATATTTATCTATTAGAAATTGGCTTAGAAATTTTAAAAATATTTATAAATTTATTTGCATAACAATGATAAACCCATTAGATCTAACATAAATAATATCTATTGTTAATAAAATAGCAATATTTTCCAAAGCGAAAAATATAGTGAGAAGTATGGCATGGTTTCTACATTTTTTGGAAATCTCTTTTATGTTTGGCTTTAGAGAGGGGCGCCTCAGTGGCTCAGTCAGTTAAGTGTGTGACTTCGGCTCAGGTCATGATCTCACAGTTTGTGGGTTTGAGCCCCGCATCAAGCTCTGTGCTGACAGCTCAGAGCTTGGATCCTGCTTCAGATTCTGTGTCTCCTTCTCTCTGCCCCTACCTCATGCTCTCTCTCTCTCTCTCAAAAATAAACAGTAAAAAATTTTTAAAAATGTTTGGCTTCATAGAAAGAAGATAACTGGATTTTCATATCTACATCTGCATTTAACCTATTGCAATGTGTTGTTTCAGCTGAAGAATATGAAGAAATTCCAAATGTAACAAGGTGTGCAGTTTGAAAAGGTAGTATTTGATTGTCTTTCAGATGACTGTGGATAGTTTTCTCCCATATGACACTGAAACTCAACAAGCAATTGTTTCTTAAAGGTGAGCTACAGTGTGGAAACTGAGCCATATCGATGAACTTTGCATAGTCCATTACATTAAAATTCATTATCGGTTTCGTATTTTGTAAAAAGCTTTTTACTCTTGTATGATTTTATAACATCGATTATTAGGGCAGTATCAGCTCACTGAGTTATGCAGATCTTTCAAATGTTGATGCGTTTCAGTTTCAATGACAAAAATCCTATCGGTTAACACCGCCATCAATCTCATCAGGGAAGTCTTTTAGGTTTCAGGAAGCTGTCAAGCATACCGTGGCCGGTGCAAGCTTTCCAAAGTTCTTTTTTTTTTTTTTTTAAAAAAACGTTTATTTATATTTGAGAGAGACACACAGAGTGTGAGTCGGGGAGGGAAAAGAGAGAGGGAGACGCAGCTGTCAGCTCAGACCCCTACGCAGGGCTCCAACTCAGAAACTGCAAGATCACGACCTGAGCTGAAGTCAGATGCTTAACCGACTGAGTCACCCAGGTGCCCCAACCAAAATTTTAATTTTTACTTCAAGGTTTGAACTTCATCATTGTTAGAAAATACTGTTAGTTCTCTCTAAAGCGACAGGCTTACTCCATTCATTTTCAAGGAAATCCGTGCCAAATACCATGTCTGAATAACCATATTTTGTCTGCCAGTTGTTCTTTCAAGTAAACATGTTGTTCTATAACAGAAGTGGCTAGTTCAGTTTGCACGCCAAACACTTTTACTTGTAGGAAACCATTGTCTCTTAATATATTTCAAGAGCTTTTATGTACACTTCCCATTTCCTCCCACAGAATATTAAAAAGATGTGTACTTGAGTTTCAAGATTTAATTAGATTTTTGTTGCTGTACCTGATGCTTGCTTTTGTTGTTGGTGGTGGTGGTTGTTTTTTTTTAAATTGTAAGTGCATGGCACTGAAGAATATAATTACTACCAGGACATGCTGGTGCTGCTGCCTTGACTGTAATAAGGTTACAGTAAGTTTTACCCACCATTACTTCTGTGTCATCAGTGCAAATGTCTGTCCAGATAGTCAAAATTGCAAATAACATGTTAGAGTTATTATTAAATAGTTTGACTTCAAGGATCCCCGGAAGTACCTTGGGGACTTCACTTTGAGAACCATTGCCCTAGAAGAAAGGGAATATAGTAAGGAGGCTGAGTGAAGCCTCTGAGATTGGACAGACTCACTCTCTGTGATATTGGGCCAGTTATATAACCATGCCAAGCCTCATATGCCACACTCATAAAATTGGAATAACAGATCTTAACTCATAGGGTTGTTTCAAAGGTTAAAGAGACCACTTGGTACAGCACCTGATACACAGTAAATGCAACAGATGTTAACTATGATCGCTAATATTTATATTAACTCTTGATTTTTTTGAAAAACATTTTTATTTATTTTTGAGACACACATGAGCAGGAGAGGGGCAGAGGGAGACATAGTCACAGAATCTGAAGCAGGTTCCAGGCTTTGAGCTCTCAGCACAGAGCCCAGCATGGGGCTCAAACTCACAGGCCATGAGATCATGATCTAAGCTGAAGTCGGACACTCAACTGACTGAGCCACCCAGGCGCCCCATATGATCTCTTGTTTTTAAGTTCAAGAAGCAATGAAGTGAGTAAATCAGAATATCAGCTGTACTTGTTGGAATCTGTTTATGCTACACCAATCCAACTTTATTTCTACATTTCCTCTGTGAGTACAAACTGCATGCAGATATGTTCTTGCCTCCTACTATGTTGAGTGCAAAGATTTGTCCTTCATATGCTGATTTTATAAATCCTCGTGTAGTCAATCATGAGAGATATTTCTTGGCAGTTAAAGTTGGTGGTGACAAATGAGAGATGGTATTTTGACTGGGACCCATGATCTCCCAATCCCTTGTCATGTGTGGGAAGCAGATATTCCCAATAGTTTCCGCTATGATCAGAAAGCTAGATCACAAGGAGTCAAAAGGATCCCTTATGCCTGAGACCTAGAGCAAACACTTAGATGTGTCTTTCCTAGAATGTTTACACTTGCCCTAATCTCAGTCCTCTACATTTTACCACTTTGTGGAGAAAATTGAATTAAAGGAAATAGACAGTAAGGAGAAAAGGGAAAAGGAGGCTATTTGCTTCAACAAAGGGCAAAGTGTGTGTGTGTGTGTGTGTGTGTGCGCATACACATGTGTACATGTGCACACATGTGTGTTTGGATGTTGTACTCACACAAACAGTAATTTGGCCGAGACTGAGTGCTGGAAAACTCTAAGCTCATAGGCCCATATAACTGATATAAATGTGGAAATAGGTTGGTATAAGTCAAGGAGATCCAGGCACACTGTGCCTGGGTATTTTACCTCTATGAATATGTTTTATTACCACCAAAGAAATATGCTCTCTTACTTTCCTTGAAATTATAAGAGATTTTCTTGGCCTATTTTTATTTTTATCACTTTTGATAGTGACTTGAGCAAAAAAAAAAAAAAAAAAAAAAACCAAAAACATCTTTTTACAATAAGAAAACAATGATGCAAGCTTATTTATATGTGGTATATGATACTTGGTTTCAGTGTTGGGAAAAATAAGAGTGGTAGTGATGGAGTTGAAATGCAGAGTGGGTGCCCTGTTTAAGGAGAGCACCTCCCTCTGGCTGTGCTACATAGAAGCAGGGACTCAGGATGGCCACATCTTCTTTTCATGTTCAGGATGGAAAGCCAGATTTTTACATGAAATCTTCAAATTTATAAATGTTGCATCAAACTGGATAGGGCAGACAAAAAAAACATGTTTGCACGGTTTGCAGGTTGCCAAATTTTGGGTTTCTCTAAAGATATTTCATTTCCCTCCCATCTCAGGTGCCAATAAACTTGGCATTTGACTCACCTCCATCACCACTCACTGGGAGGGGCGGGGGCAAAAGGTGGGAACAGAGGGTAGAGAGGAGCCTCGATCTCCCCCTAGTGGTTAGAAAGCACCAAAACAACTAGCTGAACACACCAAGTTCAGCTCCCACGTATGTAAAACTCACTAAAATCAGCAAAGCCGACTCTGGCTATTCTGTGAGAGATGTGAATCATATGGTAATTTTAATGTTAGTGCAGATGGGGCTGTATAGAAGAGTACAGATGAGTACAGTGTGAAGGGTCATCTCACCCACTAGCTAGAGCAGTATCAGCAGTTCTTGGTTAATTTGATCCCTGTTTTAAGTATTTAATAGTAGCTTCACACTTTTTAATTAATGGAGAACATCTTATATCCCTTTGCTTGGAAGATTAACTTGAGAAGAGCATTTTTAGGGTGGGGAATGGGATAAATTTTGCAATTTTGAAAAAACAAATTAAATAGAATGCTAAATAGGTCAGTAAGATGGAACTAATAGAGGTTCTTGAGAAAGTTGAAAGACACATCCCATGAGAGCCTTGTTTCGTTTGGGTACCCATTGTTGTTTTAGAACACTGTCCCCAAGTGTTATATGCCTATAGCTCAAATGTCAACTTTCAAGGATAGTTCCCTCTGAAATACTCATTTCCTTGCTGTTCTGCCCTCCTTGACACACTCAGATAATTTAATGAACTGAAATACAATTGCTTTGAGAAGCTCAATACTTCATTATACTTTTGTTTTAAAAACAGTTTTTGAATTGAGAGTGTGTCAGCAAAACCAACCAAAAGAATGTGGATGTTGTTACAAGGTCAGCTTTTCAGAAGCCGTAGGCAGGCGTTATTGGCATCCTGTCAAACAATCTCCACGGGCAGCCGGGCCATTCATGGGCAATGAGTCAGCAGCTCTGACAACACTAAATACGGGAACCCATTAATGTGCAAGATAATAGGTACACATGCTCCCTCCAAAAGCACAGGGAGAGGAAATATTTTATTTTTCATACTTCTGTAGGAGAACATTGGGATAGGTCATCAAAACTCAGATGTTTATGTATGTGTTCATGTGCGTATGTCCATGTTAGAATCTAGATTAAAATATTTATACATATGGATTTCTTCTGTGAAGGTATACCTATTCAGATAGACAGCTAAAATATCAGTAGAGAGGCATTTCAAATGGGATATTGTTGGTTAAGAGGGAGTCATTGGTCAGGGCTATCCAATCGAATAGCTACTGGTTACATGTAGCTTTTTCAGTTGAAATGTACCTAATCCAAACTAAGATATACTTTTTATGGTAAAACATACTATGGGTTTCAAATATACAGTATAAAACATGAATGACTGATATCTTAGTAACAACTTCTTTATATTGATTACATGTCAAAATGATAATATTTTTGATATATTGGGTTAAGTAGAATGGATTTAAATTATTTACACCTGTTTTTATTTTTTAATGTGGCAACTAGAAAATTTTAAATTATATATGTGGCTGGCATTATATTTCAATTGGCCAGTGCTTTAGAAGAAATCTGGTATCATCTCCTTCTGTAGCTCTCTCTCTCTCTCTTTCTCTCTCTCTCTCTCTCTCCACACACACACACACACACACATATACACACACATACACACACAAAGGGAGAGACAGAGGGGCCACAGTAGTGATTCATCTGAAAAACAGTCTTCATAATTGCATTTACGGTGCTGATATTGGAGATCCGAGTTCTATGTGCCAAAGAATAGGTACAAGACAGTCCATAGACGTCTCACCCTGAATTGTCAATTGGCCGCAACTTTGGATCCAGGGCTGAAAGGGCATTTGTCATAGTTCATTTAATTCTGGCCTCCTTGCTAAGAATGAAAGGGCACAGCTGAAGATGCCAAGAATTGTCTTTCCTTTATCACTGTTTAGGAAAGAACAACATTCATCATGGAGAAATGAATTGGTGTTGCTTCTTGAACTTTCAATCTGTTTGAGACTTGGATTCTCTCAACAATGACTGTGATGGTCACAATTGTACTGTAACACACTGAGCAGAAGCTTTCATTCAATAAGAATTCTGATAAAAGCAAAATCTAGAAGCCAGTTTGGCTATTTAAATCAAGCAGTGACGGGTGCCTGGGTGGCTCAGTTGGTTAAGGGTCCGATTTCAGCTCAGGTCATGATATCATGGTTTGGGAGTTCAAGCCCTGCAATGGGCTCTGTGCTGAGAGCTCAGAACCTGGAGGCTACTTCTGATTCTGTGACTCTCTCTCTATCTGTCTCTCCTCTGCTTGCATGCTTTCTCTTTCTCTCAGAAAAATAAACATTAAAAATTAAAAAAACTTTTTTAACAAAAAATAATAAATCAACTAGTGAAAAATGGTACTATCTAGATTGGTCTGGATGTGTTATGTTTTGAGTATGTTTTGTCAGCGCTCCTAGATCACCCCCCCCCCTTATTACAGCAGTATTGAGAGGTTCTTGGCAACATTTCTCTTGTACCTGCTGCTCTATGCTTTGAGCTTCGCTCTTTGAATCCATTCCATCCCTGACTTCTTTCGTCTTCCTGGCCTCAACTACTTAGAGGACATTGGAGTCCTGGAGTTGAACAGATGCTAATTTGGGGTTCCAAACTTATCCATCTCTTATCCTTAAAGCTTTCTTTTATCTGCTTTAACTTTATTAACTTGAATTTTTTGAACACAGCTGGAAAGCAGCTGAGCAGAGATTTCATTCACGGTGGCTGGGCCATTCTGAATGGCTGCCCAATGAATGGTATATTCTGTACACCAAGTCTTCTGCCCCCAATAACAAAACAAAATAATTAATAGAACACAATAAAAAGGTGTTTCTGGCTCCTGAACTAGCTGGAAGAAAAGGTGAGGTTCCTGATATATTTCTTTATTAGAGCCATGTAGTGTCTTCACTCCTTCCCAAATAAATAAGCTGATTTTGTCTTTCCAATTCAGAAACTCGGCTCTCTGGGGGGACTTCTATTGGAGAGTGGCTCCTCATGCTCCCCTAAAATCTCTTTCTAGTATTCTTACATTTGTTAATGGATCTATGTGAAATAGAGTATATTGATTCAAAGTTATGAGACTATTTTAAAGAAAAATGAAAGGTCAGTATTTTAATCATTCTTCATATGTATGGTTTAAAAAAGAATGAGCATTGCACTGAGTATCACAACATGAACATTTTCATAAGGGATGAAAACTAGATAAACACTTTTATATTTTTTAAGGTAACTGTTGTTTTTTTAAAAAATCTTTTCAGTGTAACATTGACAGTAAATTGATTTATACCTCTTTCTTTCTTTCTTTCTTTCTTTCTTTCTTTCTTTCTTTCTTTCTTTCTTTCTTTCTTTCTTTCTTTCTTTTCTTTTTCTTCCTTCCTTCCTTCCTTCCTTCCTTCCTTCCTTCCTTCCTTCCTTCCTTCCTTCCTTTCACTTTTATTTATTTATTTTGTGAAAAAGAACATGAGCGCGGGAGAGGCAGAGACAGAGGGAGAGAGAGAATCCCAAGCAGGTTCCACATTGTCAGCACGGAGCTTGACTTGGGGCTTGAGCTCATGAACTCTGAGCTCATGACTGGAGCCAAAAGCAAGAACTGGACACTTAACCGATGGAGGCACCCAGGCGCCCTACCACATTTTACTTCTTGACAAGTTTGTTTTTTTAATCTAAGCTCTTGACAAGCATTTCTGAGCAATAAAAAAGTCCCTCTGTTTGGGGAGTACACAAAGGCAAGAAAAGTTTAGGTCAGCTGGGTCAGGCTTGTCGCATTTGCAGACCAGCTCTCTTATATTGTTTGATTCCAATAGCTGGGATTAAAAAGATATTGAGTATAATTATGCAAATATGAAAGATTATATAAAATAGACTGACTTAATACCACTCAATTTTTAGGTGACTGTATTACGGAAATTGAACAAAACATTTCAACATCTTAAAGTCAGAATTTTTCTCTTCTCTTTATTTTAGACTTTATTACTAAGAAATAGAGAAAGAAGGAATCTTATAAATTCTAAGATTTTATGGGTTGTTAATGAAACTCCTTCAGAGAAGCCAAACAAAGGAAAACGACACACACCACTGAAGGGCCTGACATCTGTAAAATGTGATTTGGAGAACTTCACAGGTTTGGGAGATTTGACCATGGGAGCAGAAAGCATCTTCAGGTTGCCCTCTCTCCTGGAAGTTTAGGAAGAAAGGGATTAGTGGGGATTGGCAGCTCATCTCAAGTCCTTCTAGCACTCCATCCCATTAACCAAAGAAGAAAAAGGGCACTAATTCTCAGACATTTAAAGAACCCCCAAACATGATTTCTAGCAGGACAATGTGCAGAAGATAAAATCCAAACCATACAGTCTTTATCAGCTTAACTAAGATAAATTGCATTAATGAATGGCTTACTTCACCTTTTCTAGAAGCTTACTGCTGGTGTTTCGCAACATTAAAGTTTGAAAATAAAATCATGGCTGAGGTATGTCTAATTAAAGTAATAAGAGGAACTCATAACTAAAACTTCATAAAAGGAACTTATAAGTTGTTCAAGTTCGGTAATGACATAAGCTGTCCAATGATGGGATTTCCCAAACCACAGAATTACTGCCGAGAACATAAATCCATTTCTAAACCTTGATTTTTTTAAACTTTTTTTTTAACATTTATTTATTTTTTGAGAGACAGAGACAGAGCATGAGCAGGGAAGGGGCAGAGAGAGAAGGAGATACAGAATCTGAAGCAGGCTCCAGGCTCTGAGCTGTCAGCACAGAGCCCGATGTGGGGCTTAAACTCACAAACCACGAGATCATGACCTGAGCCAGAGTCAAATGCTTAACCGACTGAGCCACTCAGGTGTCCCATAAACTTGATTTTTTTTTTTTATTAGCGGTAAGAGAAACAGTTGAAAATTAAATATTATTCGGCATGTATGTATAAATATATAGGTATGTGTGCATGTGCATATATGTGTAACAATTCTCTCATTTGCTCATTTAAAGGTGGCCTGTGAAAGCTGATAGGTTTGAGAGTGAGTTAAAATGATGACTCAATTTCTGTGTATGTATAAATACTAGCTTTTTCCTCAAAGAGTCTGTCTATTCCATGGCAAGAGTGTAAGACTCTTGGAAAGACTGGATCATTCACACTTCAACAAAATGAGTTTTATTGTAGTTTATTAAAAGCATCAAGTTCTTTGATTAAATACTCAGGCATTCTAACTTCCAGAAAAAATTTATCTATTATTACTCTTTAGTAGTAAACCTAAGTACCTATAGAAAAGAGAACATATTTTAACCTGAGTAGTGACCCTTTGGATATTTTTAGAAATTAATACCTATAAAATTTCTATGATAAAAAATGAAAACACATAAGGAAACTGACAGCTGAATGGGCTAAGTGTGCAGCAGTCTGCTAATCTATCTAAGAGCTCTTCCTTCTCATTTGGTAATAGTTAATAAAGATGAACATACTTCTCAAAAACACTTGTCTGCATAGCTATGGCTATAACCACATTTGCCTTTACCAAAGTCAAGCAAGCAGGATTCTGAGACTCTTCAGGTGGGGGAATGGTGATGTAGAGAAGGGGAGAGGAAGTGCTGGTGGGTGGGAAGGATCTCTATGATGATAGGGTGATGGTCATTTTCCTCTTACTCCAAAGTGCCACCAATTGTCTAAGAGAGAAGGAGGCAATGACTTCCAATAGCTGACCCAGAAAAGTCTGTGTGTTTGTGTGTGTGATGCAGAAGGCCACCATTAAGCCCTAAATTTTATTTGCCTGCCTACTGAGATTGGGGTTTTCTCTATTGCCTGGATGAATAATAGAATATCTTCTGCTGTCAGTATGCTACAAGTTTCTGAAAAAAACCCTACATATATATCAGCAAAAGAATTTCTTAACATTGTTATTGCTATATAATTTTTATTCTTTTGAAGTTTTACAGTTAACTTTGAAAATACATACATGGTGAAAAATGATCCTACGTGGAAAGTTAAGTTCTAAAACCTCCTGAATTTTTGGTTCGGAGTGTAAGGTTGTTTTCAGAATGTGCCCAGGAAATTAACTTTCACAACTAAGCTTTGTTCTAGCCGATAATGAAGTTAATGCGTGTGCTCTGAGTCTATAATAGCAAGAGGCAGAAGGAGAGAATTACAGCTGGGACTTGTTTTCTCTAAAGGTATCTCCTCATCTTGATTGTAAGGAAAATAATAGTGCTGACCTCAAGTAATCTGGAAGATTGTCTTAGATAATGTATTGTATGTATAAGGCACATAGCTTTCACTCAGTGACTAGTAACTGCTCTAGGATTATTATAAACAGTCAAGGAAGGGAAGTAACTAAATAGAAGTTGGGCATGGAACATTTCCAAAGTGTCATTTCATTTCATTTTTAAAATTTTTTAAAATTTTTATTTTTTGAGAGAGAGAGTGTGAGCAGGGGAGGAGCAGAGAGAGAGGGAGGCACAGAATCCGAAGCAGGCTCCAGGCTCTGTTTGAGCTGTCAGCAGAGTCCGATGCAGGGGCTTTCTCCCAGTCCCTGGAGCCCATGACCTGAGACAAAGTTGGACACTTAACCAACTGAGTCACCCAGGTGCCCCTCCAAAGTGTCATTTCTTGGGGCGCCTGGGTGGCTTAGTCGGTTAAGCGTCCGACTTTCGCTTAGGTCATGATCTCGCAGTTCGTGGGTTCGAGCCCCGCGTCGGGCTCTGTGCTGACTGCCAGCTCAGAGCCTGGAGCCTGTTTCAGTCTGTGACTCCCTCTGTCTCTGATCCTCCCCTGCTCACGCTGTTTCTCTCTCTCTCCTAGAAATAAATAAAACATTTAAAAAAAAAGTGTCATTTCTTAAGTGAAAATCTCCCTGTCAATCAGCAACAGCTCTATCATATCAGCTATGTGAGAGTGTCACCAAACCAGCTGAAAGATTGTTGTCCAATCATGGAAAAGAAAATTGAGTATTGTGACCAGGTGAAAGACTGAGGCCACACGAGCCTATGACTAAATCCACAGTTCCTTGTTAAGCGTCCACCTTACCCAAAACTTCCCCTTGGAAGGATACTCTGAATGTTGGCTTTAGCGGGTTATCTGAAATGGCCTTCTGATAGCCCACAAGAAAGTCCTCAAAACATCTCATGCAGTTTCAAGTAAAGCTCAAACAGCACCACCAAGCACGGTGGGCGCAAGTAGCCTGAAGTGGGCAATATATCTGAAGACAGGTATTGTGGGTCTCCCATACAAAACAGTCTTCTATTTCAGCAAAATTTTGTCATTGGTATTTAAAAATTCCCTAGGGTTGGGGTGCGGTGGCTCAGTTGATTAAGAGTCTGACTTTTGATTTTGTCTCAGGTCATGATCTCATGGTTCATGGGATCGAGCTCCGTGTGGGGCTCTGAGCTGACAGTGCTGAGCCTGCTTGGGATTCTCTCCCTGCCCTCTCTGAAAATAAATAAATAAACATTAAAACAAATAAAAATTCCCTAGGGCTAAGTGGTTTTTCCTTGTCCTTTTATTCAAATAGACCATTAACACACTGGAGAGAATTAAGCCTCAACTATAGCATTCACTGTGGAGACAATCAGGATTCAACTTTAGTATCCACTGTGAATCACAGAACCTGCCAGAAGTACTACTGGTGTGCCTAGGAAATGCAGAAATAACCACCAAAAAAAAAAAAAAAATGTAGCTGTAAATTCACACAGACATAAAATGGAAAAGCTACAGGCGAGGCAGAATTTTATTTTTAGCAATCCATAGGTAGAAGTCTCCTCATTTTTCTTCTCTTCTGATTTACTAAGATAATAAGAATATACAAAAAGCATGAGTAAACGCATAGTACAGAGCTAACGAGAGACGAGGTGATAAGTTTCAAGTACTTCAGGCGTGTAATCCTTAATAACATATTATTCACTCATGGGGTTTTTATGTGAATCTTGGAATCCTGTAATAAGCAGAGATATTTTTGAGAAATTGAACTGGATTCAGGCTTAATCGCTTTGAAACAAATAATTTAGTTGCTGTGCTTGGCAATGTGGGTCATTGCAGCTCCTGGACTCAAGCAAGGTTAAAAACTGTGGAAAATACAATGGTACATTGGACCTGGACTCTGTCCCCGACAACACAGAGATCTTGTAGAGGTTTCAGACTCATGACAGAATTAGCTGGAACGCAATATCCAAAGTGGCAAGAGCCAGAGGAGAGATTTATTTAGGATATTGGGATTTTAAAGGATGAAGAAAAATGGAAGAGATTATTCCAATTGGAAAACCTGGGGGCCTTCACAGAGGAAATATCATTTAAAAGTAGCACAACTCCCTCTAAATGTTGGTGCTTAAAAAATATTTTATAGCCTGAGTGAATGAAAGGCATCGGAGGGATGAAGGCTCATAATGCCTGGCACACAACAGTTACTCAAGACACGCTTCCTTGACTGGACTGCAGACTTTGAGGAAGGGCATTCCAGGTGAGGAAATATGCAAATTCATGTAGGGTCATAATGGGAAGGGGGCTTCAAACGGTGGACGGGGTTAAGCAGGATGGACTGTATTAGGTGAATGAAGGGGACTCACTGCTGGTTTCGCAGGATGAGGTCCATATTCCTTGACATAAATCTCAAGGCTTTCTGAGGTCTGGTGCCTGCCCACATCTCCAGCCTTCTCTTTCTGTTATTCCCCTCTCCATTCTTGCTGGATTTCTTCTGTTCCTCAAAACACAGCATTTTCTCTCACCTTCAGGTACCACACATCGTAGACTTCCGGCAATCATCCCATGTTTGTCCTTCTCTTGCCCCCTCTGTCTGGCTGACTCCTACTTACCTCCAGGTCTCAGCTTTAACATCACTTCTTCCAGGAAGCCTACCAGCCTCCTGTACTGGTTAGCTTCCCCTCCTACGCTCTCTCACTGATCCTGCACTTCTCACCGCACCTTATTGTAATTCCCTGTGATTCCCTGTAATCATTAGTCTCCCTGTTTGTGGTAGGCTCTCTGAATTCAGAGACCTTGCCTTTTTGGTGGCTATATCCCTAGTACCTAGTATTGATTCCTAGAATACTTAGTAAACACAATTGTTGAATGAATGAATCAGACAAGACTGGAGATTGCGTTAGGAACATCGATCATACCCCCTATTAGTGAATGAGGATTTAAAAAATAAAAATGGCGGGGCACCTGAGTGGCTCAGCCGGTTAAGTGTATGGCTCTTGACTCTAGCGCAGGTCACCATCTCACGGTTTGTGAGTTGGATCCCCGCATGGGGCTCTGTGCCGACAGCGTGGAGCCTGCCTGAGATTCTCTCTTTCTCCTTCTTTCTCTTCTCCTCCCCAGCTTGTGCTCTTTTTCTCTCTCAAAATAAGTAAATAAGCTTTAAAAAACCAAAATGGTTGGCAATGGTATATGGTCATTAAATGTTATAAAAATCAAATAGTAACAATTGTTAA